ATTTTAGAGAAATTTAAGCTTTGGGCTTCAATCTTGTTCTTGAGGCTTCCTACAAATTTTTTACGCTTCAAGAGGTAGGGTTCCTCCTACTCGGACCTATTTCTAACCTAAGGTGTCCATAGGGTTCATGTGGGCTGTTTTGGGTATTTCTAATATTTTTCCATTATGATTGGTGCTATGGAAATGGGTAGGATCAATTTTAGTGTGAATTGGTAGTTAGAAAGTGCTAGTTTGTGATTTCTTGAATGTTTAGATAATTGGTTATATAAAAATCATATATTCTGATTTTTATTTTGTTTGAATGATCCATATAAAATCTTGGCTTGATTTTGGTATATGGAAGTATTTATGTAATCCCTTGAAAATTGGGATCATGTGGGCATGCTTTGTGTTTTATATTATGCCTTGTGAATGAAATGTAATATTAGCATGTATTATGTGTTATCATGTTGATGGAGTGTTGATATATGCTCTTGGATATATTGAACTTGAAATGGTTATGTGATTATATGCAAATGATATTAATTGTCATGGTATACAATGATATTTAAAAATTGTCATTTGGCATGCATTGCAATATGGACATGGAATTAACATCACATTCATGGGCTACATGCATGAGTGTGGGTGTAGGGTTGCATGGGGTGATCAACACCAACATTGGTTCTTGATGGTAGGCTCGGGAAAGTGGGATGGAACGTCCTACGGAGTCGCACGGTGACATGGATAAGAAAACTTGTGTCGGGTATAGCAAGTAGGGCTAGACACTCATTCGGGTGAAAAACCCGACCACTTGGTTCATACACTTACCGGCGGTGAAATTCCAGAAAAGTGTAACGGCGTACGGAGCCGGAGGTGCGATTCCTGAATCCGATACCCCATAAAGGCACATGATTTTGATATATAAATTATTCATTTGATGGGAAACATCCAAGAATGAATTAGTTTTATGACATATGGTTGATTTCAAAATGATCTTTGGATGTGTTTCATCAAAGACGTTTGTTTTACACGTNGCAAGTGGGTAGTTCCATTCTTAGCACCACCAACAAGCAATTTCTTACATTCATTGCACTTAGCCTTTAACTTCCCATCAATTATTTTCCTCTTGAAATGATTCCACACAAATGATCTATGTCTATTTGTTTNAGGAATTGTAATAGAGTATATATGGACTGTTTTAATATAACCTTGCATATTTTGATATAAATATGATGATTGGACCCGGTGTGATCAAGTTTTACGTATAAAATGGATCCTTTGTGGTTATGGTATTATATTGGACCCGGTGTGATCAAGTTTTACGTATAAAATGGACCCTGTGTGGTTATGGTATTATATTGGACCTCGGATAGGTCATGTAAATGTTGATTGCACAGATTGTGTTTTGGGGTAGAACTTCCCGTACAAAGGAGACTCTACCCGAATTTCGTTAAANATTATATTGGACCTCGGATGGGTCATGTAAATGTTGATTGCACAGATTGTGTTTTGGGGTAGAGCTTCCCGTACAAAGGAGACTCTGCCCGAATTTCGTTAAATTATGGATCCCGGTAAATGGGACACAACGGTACGATATCGAGTTATACGGTATCCACGGGCATTCCGTGGGTTGATGAAAAATTAACGGACCCCATGAATTTGGGGTGTCACAGACCGTGCAATATTAGTAAACCAAATAGAAATTTATCCAACAAAATAGTCACAATTACATCATTAGTGGTACAATTATCCACAGTCAAAGTGATCAACTTTCTATCAAGGTTCCAATCGAAAAATCAATCTATGAAACACTCCACAAGCACTTCCTTGGTATGTGGGTAAGACACATATAAAAATCTAAAGATAATAAACAAANAGAAATTTATCCAACAAAATAGTCACAATTACATCATTAGTGGTACAATTATCCACAGTCAAAGTGATCAACTTTCTATCAAGGTTCCAATCGAAAAAGCAATCTATGAAACACTCCACAAGCACTTCCTTGGTATGTGGGTAAGACACATATAAAAATCTAAAGATAATAAATAAAACATGTTAATAGAAGATCATTAGTACCCTATAACAAATAACACATGCTAATGAAAGATCAGTAGTACCTTATAATCTGACTTTGCAATATCCAAGAATTGTCAATAAAGTGTGTGGTGATTGTCATGTATCCCTTTCTTTAATTGTTTGAGGACCATATGTCCGTAGTGATAGCAACTCTACTTTTTGTCTTTTCCAACAATTTCATTGTCTTCTCCTTTTCGGTTTTGTAAATTTGAAGGATATCATTTCTAAGAGTGTTCCGAGATATCATTTTTAATATTGGTTGAAGAGTGTGACAATACTTTTGAAATAAAAGGGTATTCATGCAATACAATCATATTGGCAAGATCCCTCCTCCCCATTTCTTGAACAAATTGTCAGTTCTCTATTGTTTTCTCAGTATCGTTCTTTAATTGGTTTGATACCAGTAAACATTGCTTCAAATTTTTATACTTCGTCCTCGAAAAACTTTTAAGATGGTCATGCAAGTGGGTAGTTCCATTCTTAGCACCACCAACAAGCAATTTCTTACATTCATTGCACTTAGCCTTTAACTTCCCATCAATTGTTTTCCTCTTGAAATGATTCCACACAAATGATCTATGTCTATTTGTTTCACCAAGAGTCATTGGAGTTGAGTTGGTAGATTAATTTTCATCAATAGAGATTGGAAGTTGGTTGCTTTTACCCGGTGTTGCAGAAGTTTGAGGAGTTGACATATTATTTCTCATTTCTTCTCCTTTCATTCCTACTTAATCAACTAAGCAATATAAATAATCAAACAAAAATGAGCATGCAAAGCAATCTAGCAATTAAATAGCATATCGATTTCTACACGAAAGGGGAAGTACAGATGCAAAGGAGATTCAGTAGCCTCAAGATACAAGCAACCTATAGGCAGGTTATAATGAAAAAGTGTCTGCACTGATACATGGGTGAAAGTACAAAGGAACATGAAAAACAAAAAAGATGTGAAACATGCGAAGTGGTTGAGGGCAAGAAAATGGTCCAGAATAGGCTGTATCAAGAGGAGACTAAAAAACCTACACTAAAGGAGAGTATTGTTGTACAGTCTAAACAATGGAGAAAGAAGACAACAGGACACCAATACACTTGAAAGAATGATCTTAAGTGGTAAACATCTAACTTAGTAACATCTAATTACAGTTCAGCACAATATTTCTTACGAATGTCCTTCTGTGGATCATCAGATAGTACGTAAACTCAAGAAGCAAAGAAGGGATAAAGATAATTCTAAGAAAACAAGAGCCAGATTTAAATTCCAAAATTAACTACCAAAGTTGGTCCACTGCCATCCCTAGTTGTGAGTAGAATAAAATGCAAAACTCATACACATTTTGATCATTTTATATACTAGATCTAGCAAGAACGTACGGAGACAATTAAACCCAGAGAAGTCAGTCACAAGCTCAAACCATTACAAACCAAAGAGGCACACCACAATGAAGCATCAAAGACATGAATTTGTATATAACCATAAGTGTCTATATCTATATATCTTTATATAAACATGTCTGTCCATGTTTAAATGAAACAGTCTAGTGGAAAATATTCATGTGATCTTCACCTACCACACCAATGTTCGAAAAATCGGTGAAATGTGGAAACGAGGAAGGCCCAAATCAGTGATCAACGATATTGGTAGCAACGATCAGCGATCAGTGATGTTCTTGAGCGATGAATAAGTGGAGGCGAGCAGTTGAGCTACTGAGGATCAACGATTGACACTGTGAGAGAGAGAGAGAGAGACGATGGTGGACTAGAGGCGGGCTTTAACAGGTAACAGGGACGGGGTGGGGGTAAGGGTAGGTCCATTTTCGTTTTCATCTTCGCATGAGTTTATACGAGTATCTCCATGTACGATCACTGTTTAATACATATAGTTCATCCCTAGTCTAAACAAGACTGATTTAGACGAATACTCATTTTTTTTTCAATACACTACCGTCCCTAGTTGTGCAACTCTCTCTCACAAGTGATTAAACTTCTTGTCTTTTTCTCTTCAAATGCAACTCAGCTTTTGGTCTCTGGTCCTTGTTGTCGTAAATTTTATTAATTTTTCATTTTTAACGTCAAGCATTAGGTGAACCGAAAGTAGTTAACCAAAGTTAAAGCAAGACTTTGTGAATGATCCAAAATTATCTTTTCTCTACCTTAATTTATTAAGTTTTTGGTAAATTGTATGCATTCGGACATGTTTCATATTTTGTTTACTTAAATTATTATATTTATAATTTTTTTATTTTTTAATTATACGATCGATCTGACCAATTAATCTAACTATTAAATTATTGATCCGATTTTTATGTCGGTTTGATATTCAGTCCGATTCTAATAATTATACCCAAGATAATGAATATCTATGATTAATTAAAGATTGATTGCATATATAAAATATTTATTTAACATCCTGAGTTTAATATGACCTATTTTAAAAAGATTTTTTTGTAATAAAAATTTTGTATAAGTAATGGCGAGTACCCATGGACATTTGGTTCAATGATATTTTTTATCTTATAAAAATTTTATTTTTTTGAGGTAAGGAGTATAAGAATTAAATACCCTCGTTAAAAACAAAAAAGTAATGGCGAGTACCCTTCCTAAATTGACACTCGCAAGCAAGCCTCTCCTGATTAGCAGCCTATTGTATTAGAGTAATGCTACATGGATTTAAAAAGTAGATTTGATTATTTCAATCATTGATTTCACTATGAGTTCTAACATTTATTAGAACTCATTATTTATTCCATGGTTAAAATTATTAAATTTAATTTTTAATTTCATCTGGCATTACTTATTGTATTATATTATATTGAACACTCCTTCAGACAAGACAACGACAGCCAATCAACTCAATACCTCGTAATCTTACCCGATTTTGAAAACTTTCTCTCTCTCTCTCTGCAAAATCCACTCTCTCTCTCCTCCAATTCTCTATCCCCATGGAGACCTTAACCAGAGACCAGTACATCTACATGGCGAAACTCGCCGAGCAAGCCGAGCGCTACGAAGAGATGGTCAAATTCATGGGCAAACTCGTCGTCGGCACGGCGTCCACCGGCGCCGAACTCACCGTTGAGGAACGGAACCTATTATCTGTGGCGTACAAGAACGTCATCGGCTCTCTCCGAGCGGCGTGGCGGATTGTGTCGTCCATCGAGCAGAAAGAGGAAGGCCGCAAGAACGACGACCATGTGGCGCTAGTCAAGGACTACAGATCGAAGGTATTAAATCACCAACTCATAAAAAAGTTTGAATTGATTTAGAAGTGTACCATAAATATTTATTTAATATTTTTTACGCCCAGAGTCATCTTGAGTTGAGTGGTATGAGTGGTTATAGGTAAACTTATCATTAGTGTCGGATAAAACGCGTTCATGTTGCATCTGTAACGGTTCATGTTAAAATACACTCCACTCTGATTTGTTTATTAATTTATCTTTAACTAATCATATTATATTATATTTATATTGTGTATACACAATTCGTATTATACATTTTTTTTGATCGGCTTCACCATTATTCAATTTATTTGTTAATCATCCCGTGTCGTGATGGGTCTTTTCGTTTATGAAACGGGTGTTTAAGAAAGACTTAAAACTTCTAATTTTGCGACGTCGTATTAATGAGCCGTATCATATTTTGATACCCTGGGCATATACTTAGTTGACATCCTACAATGGATCATGATTCCCTTTGTAACTCTAATTCGAATTACTTTGATTCATATATAGAATTATACACATAGTTAATTAAGAGTTATGATAAGAATTACAAAACACATCATAATTCAAAATAAAGAATTTTATAACCATCGTAAATAATAGAAGCTAATGGTAGCACATTTGTACAACAAAATTAAATCACAATGAATTAAACATATTTAAAGATTATGAAAATAAAGAAATACCCATTTTCTGTTGTAATTTGGAGTTAAGTTTCGAATTTGAAATTATCTTGATTACAAGTTAGTTAAGGATTTGAGCAGGGGCGGAGCCAGGAATTGTTGATAGTGGGGGTAACCTAGAACTAAGTGATAAGTTGAAATTATAATATTAACATTATTTCTTTAAATATTAATTTTGTTGTAAGGAATTTATCCGTAATTGATTCAAAATTAACATGTTTGGTTTGACTCAAATTCAGTAGTTTTTTCTTTTTGGAACATAAACCCAATAATTTATCATTCAATTTTTAGCAAACAACTTCTAAGGATTAGTAATATTCATTTAATTGAACAAACTTAGTGGAAATAATTTAGAAAAAAATCTATTTATCACAAGTTGACTCAAATACTAGAATACTTTAATTGATCACTGTCAAATNCCGCTTTGCCTTTTGCAAGGAGTATTTATACCTTAAAAGCTCATGATTGCTGTCAGTGTCGTCAGTAGGTGATTATTAGGCTCAGGTAGCGTGTGCATTGATTCTGATGAGGAATGTCTTCTCTAATTAACTGCTCGGGGTCCCGAGCAATCAATGCTGGATCTTCGGGATGCCGACGGTACAATGTGCTCCTCTCGGGGAGGGTGCAATAAATGCTCTGTAACAGGAGCATTTATTGCCTTTCATTTCTGAGCCTTACCGCATTGAATGCGGTCTCATCAAGGGAATGGTGCAATTAATTATTTGCTTTCCCAAAGCGTTTGTCAGCAACAGCATGCGGTTTGTCTGTCTTTGATGTGATATCATATGCCACGCGTCCATCCCCTATTGGTTGTGACCTCTGTATTCCAGTATGTTCTGACATTACTTGTGTAAGACGAGATCATGATGAATAGCCTAGACTAGCCTAGGCTAATGACCTGTACGTCAATAGCTTATCCTGGAGTAGAGGAAGCGTCCAGGATGGGGGTACCTCTCGACACCGAGGAAAGGCTCATCTCGGGGACCGAGGGTGGTATGCCGACCGAGGCCACGTGTCGGTTGTAAAATATACTGAATGTATGATCCTATACGCCAGTACCTCGAGGGCGAGGACATTCGTGCGCCGATGGTGCTTGATCTTAACAAGTGTTTTAGTAAAATCGAGGACACGTGTCTTCATCATAGGGTATTTCAGAAAAGTC